CCCCTCCTTCTGCCTCCTCCTCCTCCTCCTTTCCCCCTCCCCTCCTTCCCCCTGCTCCCTCCTTCCTCCTCCTCCTCCCCCTCCCTGTCTGCTCCTGCTGAGTTCCCAGGGACATCCTCCAGTTGCCCCATTGAGTGCAGAGTTGTATGCAGAAGGGCGACCGAAGGACCCCAGATGGCAGCCACCCCCCCCCATCACCACCCCTTTTAAGATGTGTTGCATGTTTGTGGTGGCCATCTGGACTTTTCGACCCCACCCTACGGCCACCTCTGCTTGAATTCCTCTTCAGCTCCCAGAAGACTGAAGCGAGGAGGAGACGCTGTGGAGCCCCATCGCTCAGCAGACAGAAAAGCAGGAAAGGAAGGCTGCATCTCAGGACCTTCTGGATTAGCCTTGGGGGAAAAATCCTCGGCTTTGATTTTTCTGCACTGGCAAAAAGCTTTCGACGCGTGCACTGGCATCCTTACTTTCACGTTCGGCTCTCAGAAACTTCGGGTCGGTGATAAAACCGCCGATGTAGTGTGGTGAAGGTTCAGGGAAGGGCGTCATTAACAGGGATTTCTCGTTTCCTTCAGCCCGCTGACATCAACCATCCGCGTGGTTTTGGGACAACATTCTTTTAACAGTACCACCGGCTTTACTCAAGAATTTAAAGTAGAGAAGTACATCGTGCATCCTGACTTCTCCGTGTTCAACCCAACCGAAAATGATATCGGTGAGCTCTTTTCTCGCCTGTTGTTGTTGTTAGTTGCGAAGTCGTGTCCGAGACCCATCGCGACCCCATGGACAACGTTCCTCCAGGCCTTCCTGTCCTCTACCATCTTCTGGAGTCCATTGAAGCTCAGGCCTACTGCTTCCATGACTCCATCCAGCCACCTCATTCTCTGTTGTCCCCTTCTTCTATTGCCCTCCATCTTTCCCAGCACTAGGTTCTTCTCCAGTGAGTCCTTCCTTAAAGTGGCGATCCCTAACCTTTCCACTGGAGTGGGAGGTGGGGGACAGGGGATGGTTTTGTGCATGCACGCTGCTTTCACAAACATAGCTTTGTGCTTGGGCGTGCACACTCGGTCATCACTTCCATGGCCCGTTCTCTAATGGGCTGCAGTCCGGCACTGGTCCATGGACCAGTGGACCCTGATGTAAAGGGTCAATTCCTTTTATTGGATCAATAGGAGGTTCCATTCAGGATCAATCTCCCTGTGTAGAGAACACGGTAAGCCGTTCCACTGGTTAATTGTCCTCACTGTGAGGAAGTTTCTCCTTAATTCCAGGATGGTTCTCTCCTTGATTAGTTTCCATCCGTTGCTTCTTCTCTTGCCTTCAGGCGCTTTGGAGAATAGCTTGACTCCCTCTTCTTTGGGGCAGCCCCTGAGATACTGGAAGACTGCTATCATGTCCCCCCTCGTCCTTCTCTTCATTAGACTAGACATACCCAATTCCACAACCGTTCCTTGTATGTTTTAGCCTCCAGTCCCCTGATCATCTTTGTTGCTCTTCTCTGCACTTCTTCCAAAGTCTCAACACCTTTTTTTTTGTAGTGTAGTGACCAAAACTGGATAAGAGAAGACCTGGTCAGCACCACTGATAAAGACAAAAAAAGGACAAATTGAAATCCAGGCAGTCATTTCTCATGCCAGCGAGTTTCAGCATAGAATAAGCACTAAGGCTGTGGGGCAGAAGATGACCTAATGATAATTAAATCCCACCCTCTTACCTATGTAACCTGTTCTTCCCCTCTCTTGCAGCTTTAATTAAACTCAAGAAAGCCAAGGAACGCTGCGCGGTGAGATCCCAATTTGTTCAACACATATGCCTGCCAGAAGCTTCCATGTCCTTTCCAGACCATTACAAATGCTACGTTGTCGGATGGGGATACTTGCGTGAAAGTAAGAGCTCACCGCTGGGATGGCTGCTGGGGAAAGGTGATCATCCCCTAGAGCAGTGGTTCTCAACCTTTTTAATGCCGCGACCCCCAACCGGTCGTAAGTCGAGGACTAAACCGGTCGTAAGTCGAGGACTAAACCGGTCGTAAGTCGAGGACTACCCAACCGGTCGTAAGTCGAGGACTTTGCCTGGGAGCGCCACGCATGCGTGGTTCCGCCCCCTGTGCCGGCCGAGGCGTAGCTGGCAAGCGGCAGAGACGGAGCAGGCCGACCACCAGCTAGCCCAGCCCAAGGGAGGTAAGGCACCCGCCGGAAAAGGGGAAAAAAATGGCGGACAGCCTTGCTTGGCGACCCCCGTGAAATGGTCAATCGACCCCAAATGGGGTCGCGACCCATAGGTTGAGAACCGCTGCCCTAGAGCCAGGAGTTTCAGCTGACACCAGGATGGTCATCATGACGTCTGCACATCACACTCAGTTATAGCCACTCGGTGGCTAGAATGCAGTATTGCAGGCAAACTCTGCCCACAGCCAGGAAGTTTAACCCTGACCGGCTCAAGGTTGACTTAGCCTTCCATCCTTCCGAGGTCGGTAAAATGGGGACCCAGGTTCTGGGAGTTGAAGTCCTAAAAGCGCCGTAATTCCCCATCCCTGCTGGCTCAGGAATTCTGGGAGTTGAAGTCCACAAGTCCTAAAAGGGCCATAGTTCCCCCTCTCTCCCCTGATCTAGATGGCTGTAGCCATTCTTAAGCATCTTCCTTTCACCATGTCTCTGATAACATGGCTTATGAGTCCCCCCGCCCCCACGTTGATGTGACTGCAAACTCCAGGTTTATGAGATCACCTCACTCCTCCAGTACTCAATCTGAGATGACGGAACTAGCTTGAAGCGTTTCTCTTGAGCCTGGGTAGGTGAGCTTTTTCCAGGCCCAGCTGTTGTTCCTCAGAATTGTATTCTTTCTCGTCCTTTGAGCAGATTCCTCCAGATACGCCAATGTGGTGCAAGAAGCATTGGTTCCGATTATCCCCGATTACGAGTGTCAAAACCCGGACATTTATGGATCTGAAATCAGTGAAAATATGTTCTGTGCTGGATACCTGGACGGCAGGTCAGATGCTTGCCAGGTAATCAATCCTGTTGAGTTACTGCGGGAATTAGCAGCATGTGGGGGTCTTAAGAGGTCTTGGGGATGAGTGGGAGGAGAGTTACTGTAGCTCAGCTGCCTCCCTTCTTTCCTTCCTTCCCTCCTTCCTCCCTCCCTCCCTTCCTTCTCTCCTCCCTCCCTTCCTTCCCTCCTTCCTTTCCTTCCTTCCTCCTAATTCTCAAGTTGTACCGTTTCCGTATTCACGGAGATCTTCAGATCCAGTGAGGTATCTACCCGCCTGGTTCCCCGCAGCTGAAACACAGCCACCATTAAAAGTTAACAACAACAACACCCCGGTGGGGCTGAGATTGTGACGCTGTGTAGCTCTCGCCTTGACCTTCATGTTTTCCCCTTCGTCCCAGGGAGACTCGGGGGGTCCCCTGGCCTGCAAAAGGGACGGAGCGTTCTACCTCTACGGGATCGTCAGCTGGGGAGACGGCTGTGGCAAGGCCAGGAAGCCCGGAGTTTACACCAAGGTGACCAACTACGTCAGCTGGATCAACCAGGAGATACACCGGACGCCCAAAGGATAAGGATGGCTTTGTATGGGGACCGATCACCTTCGGGTGTGACCCACGCGACAGCGTCCCTAGTCATTCTTCGTAATACTCACTCTATGGAACGTTTATTTTTTGGGGGCTGCAGAACTAGAAAAAAAAAAAGCAGACTCGCAAATGCCAAGATGTCCTGCGAAAGGAATTCAGACGTCCCATTTCTGTGCTATGGGACTTGCCATTCTTCTCTTGGGATTCCTGCCCGACTTCCGGTTAACAGCATAAATAGGAGATGGTCCTCTTGCTGGTCAGAATAACCAGAATAACATGGAAGGGACCTTGGAGGTCATCTAGTCCAATCCCCTGCTCAGGCAGGAAACCCTATCGCATTTCAGACAAAATGGCTGTCCAGTCTCTTCTTAAAAACCTCCAGTGTTGGAGCACCCACAACTTCTGGAGGCAGGTTGTTCCACTGATTTAATTGTTCTAATTGTCAGGAAATTTCTTCTTAATTCTAGGTTGCTTCTCTCCTTCAGAGATTTTGGCCAGGAGAGGCTCTTAACCCAATAGACAAAATCCCAGGAACAAACTTATCGATTTTAGGAGCGTTTATGTATCATGGATCAATGAAAAAGAAAGGGTTGTGTTTGTTTTTTTTTAATTAAAAGGGATATAACAAATGATCTTGACAGAGCAGTATCACAATGAACTCATTTCAAATTTGAAAAGACAGAAACGTACAAAATCATATTTTAAAAAGACCGTTTTACAATCATGAAAAAAAAAACAACCCAAATTCATATTTGCCCCGAAGAAGGAGAACTGGATCCAAAAGATCCTCTGTTTTCACATGGGGAAATCTCTCCGGGCATCGAGTTGCGTTCTGGAGACTTCCGGGCTTTGAATTTTGGGAGCTGCCCCATTCCTTGGGAATATGAATATTTATTGCAAAAACGCTTACGGATGAACCACCAACGGGATGGAGAGCTTCTTTTGAACAGCTGCGTTTTTCTATTCTCTTTTGGGCTCTGATGTCCCTCGTGCGACCTTTGTTTGAAAAGTTTTAACCTACTCCGGGCACCTAACCGTGTTATCTTTTTCTACCATCTGGCTTGGCTGTCCATCACATCAAATCTGGCCAGGGAGAGCCTGGATTACAGGAATTGAATGATCCTTCCTCATGACTGTCTTGGGGCCAACCCAAGTTGAAATCTTTTCCTAGAGTTGGGTCTGTTGTAATTTCCTTGAGAGCCTCAATAGACTCCGAAGAACAGAATTAACAGAGCTGGAAGAGACCTTGGAGGTCATCAGGTCCAACCCCCTGCTCAGGGAGGAAACCTTATAGCATTTCAGACAAATGGCTGTCCAGTCTCTTCTTAAAAACTTCCAGTGTTGGAGCATTCACCGCTTCTGGAGGCAGGTTGTTCCACTGGTTAATTGTTCTCACTGTCAGGAAGTTTCTCCTTAGTTCTAGATTGCTTCTCTCCTTGGTTAGTTTCCATCCGTTGCTTCTTGTCCTGCCTTCAGGTGCTTTGGAGAAGAGCTTGACTCCCTCTTCTTTGGGGCAACCCCTGAGATATTGGAAGACTGCTGTCATGTCTCCCCTCGTCCTTCTTTTCATTAAACTGGACCTACCCAATTCCAGCAACCACTCTTTATGTTTTATAATCACCTACTCCTCTTTGTTGCTCTTCTCTGCACTCTTTCTAGAGTCTCAACACCTTTTTTTACATCGTGGTGACCGAAACTGGACGCCGTATTCCAGATGTGGCCATACCAAGGCCTTGTAAAGCGGTATTAACACTTCACGTGATCTGGATTCTGTCCCTCTGTTAATGCAGCCAAGGACTGTGTTGGCTGTTTTGGCAGCTGAGGCTTCCGTGAGAATCCTCCAGAATCAACATCTCTCCTGATCACTGGATTTCCTCATTCTTTGCACACTAATCGGCTCTGAGGAGGAACTTGAATTTCCTGGCTCACCTTCCCTATTTCTCAGCTCCGTCTTCAAATCTTTCATACCATCTTTCTCTCCAGAAAGATTTTATTCTCAAACATGTATCTCTATTATTTTGTGACTGGCATTCAGTCAGTCATTGACCAAAATGGCTCCATTCATACCTTTTTTCCCTGGCAATCCAGAGGAAATAATAGGTGGGTCTCCCCTCTCTCTCTCTCTCTGTCTTTCTCTTTCTTTCTTTCTCTCTGTCTGTCTCTTTTTCTCTGTTTCTCTATCTCTGTCTCTCTTTCTGTCTGTCTCTGTCGCTGTCTCTCTTTCTCTTCGTCTTTCTGTCTCTCTTTTTCTCTCTCTGTCTCTCTCTCTCTTTCTCTCTGTCTTTCTCTTTCTCTGTCTTTCTGTGTCTCTTTCTCTCTCTGTCTCTCTTTCTGTCTGTCTCTGTCGCTCTGTCTCTTTCTCTTCGTCTCTCTTTCTGTCTCTCTTTTTCTCTCTGTCTCTATCTCTCTATCTTTCTCTCTGTCTTTCTCTTTCTCTGTCTTTCTGTGTCTTTCTCTGTCTCTCTTTCTGTCTTTCTCTGTCTCTTTCACTCTCTTTCTCTCTCCCTCTCTCTGTCTCTTTCTGTCTCTCTCATCTCTCTCTCTCTCTCTCTGTGTTTGTGTGTGTTGCTACTGCTGTCTCTTTTCTACTTTCACGCAAAAGGTTACAAGGTGGCTCAGAGTACCTGCATGTCGATCGGCTGATGATCTGCCATCAAGTTGGTGTCAACTCTTTGCGATCACCCTAGACTTTCTCCAGAACGAAACAGTATCTAGAGAAATCGAAGCACACAGAGAAAGGCCACATCAAAATTCCACATTCTCATTCTTTCCAGTGCGAACCTATTCAACGAGTGGCAGAAGCGAGCCGGGGAAATGTCCAATCTCCCTTCCATCACAGCTCCTGTGGTCCTCACCCCCCCGCTTCTCTTCCTAGTTGCCTGCTCCATCTTCAGTAGCCCGTGTTTATTTCGTTAAAACAGGTAGTCCTTTGACTTACAACAGTCCGTTTAGAGACCATTCACAGTTACAACGGCGCTGAAAAAAAGAGAACTACGGCCATTTTCCACACAACAGTTGCAAGCATCGCCGTGGTCACGTGATCAAAATGCGGACGCTTGGCAAATGACTCGTACTTATGACGGTTGCCGTGTCCCAGGGGCCGTGCGATCCCCTTTTGCAACCTTCTGGACGAACCAAGTCAAGGGGGGGGGGGGGAGAAAGCCAGATTCTCTTAACAACCGTGGAACTAACTTAAAATGGCAGTGATTCTCTTAACAAATGTGACAAGGAGGGTCGTAAAAACGGGGCAAGACCCACTACTAAACAAATGGTTCACTTAGCCACAGAGATTTTGGACTGCATTGTGGTCGTAAGCCGAGGACTACCTGTACATTTTAAAAGTCAGTTTCTTATTTTTGGAAAAAACTTGCATAATGTTAAAATCCCCTAATGCAGAGGCCCCCTGACCTTTTGGGGCACCAGGGACCGGTTCCGTGGAGAGAGGTTTTTCCACGGACCGGACGGTCCGTAGTTTTGTGTGCTGCCTGCATCCCGCGGATGGGGCTTTGCTTGTTTGTGCGGACCGGTTGCTGGCATGCCGCGGCCCGGTACTGGCCCACAGACCAGGGGTTGGGGACCCCTGATTTAGAACAGAGGTCCTCAACCTTTTGGGCACCAGGGACCGGTTGCGTGGAGAAAGAGTGCGTGGTTTTGTGTGTTGCCTGCATCCCGCGGATGGGTCTTTGCTTGTTTGTGCGGACTGGTTGCTAGCATGCCGTGGCCCGGTGCTGGTCCATAGACTGGGGGTTGGGGACCCTTGCCCTAATATATGTATGTGTGGGTGTGTGTGTGATATGTGTAATAATCGATGTCCGCTTGGGTTAATAACAGACATTTGACCGCTACATTCATTATTGGGGAATACATTTCTTGTCGTCAGGATGAGGAGCAGCTGATGCACGAAAGAGACTTTTCCAAACTCTTTCATCCATTCCTGGCATTCAGACACAGATTTAGCCTCCCTCGCTTTGAAGACTCTTGCGGCCACAGACCAGCATGTCCCTTTTCCAGCTGGATTAGCTCCTGTTTCTTAAGAGTCCAGCCAAAATCTGACTTCTTTCTCTCTCTCTGAGCTGAAGCACAGACGCAGCTTCCATTTCTGTCCCAAAGGTGCTTTTTGTTTTGTTTTTTCCCAGCAGGCAACTGGACCTCCTTGCTTTTTCTCCGAAGACATTTCCCTTCTCATCCCAGAAGCTTCTTCTTCTTCTGACTGGAGGAATGGATTTATACAGGTAGCCCACCACGTACGACCGCAAATAATAATAATAATAATAATAATAATAATAATAATAATAATAATAATAATAATAATAATAATAATAATAATAATAATAATAATAATAATAATAATAATAATAATAATAATAGTAAAGTTGGAAGGGACCTTGAAGGTCATCTAGTCCAACCCCCTGCTCAGGCAGGAAACCCTATACCGTTTCAGACAAATGGCTGTCCAGTCTCTTCTTAAAAACTTCCAGTGTTGGTGCATTCACCACTTCTGGAGGCAGGTTGTTCCACTGGTTAATTGTTCTAACTGTCAGGAAGTTTCTCCTTAGTTCCAGGTTGCTTCTCTCCTTGATGAGTTTCCATCCGTTGCTTCTTGTCCTGCCTTCAGGCGCCTTGGAGAATAGCTTGACTCCCTCTTCTTTGGGGCAGCCCCTGAGATATTGGAACACGGCTATCATGTCCCCCTTCGTCCTTCTCTTCATTAAACTAGACATACCCAATTGAACCGAAAATTTCCATTGCCAAGCGAGACGTTTATTCAGGCGGGTTTTGCCCCGTTGTGCGACCTTCCTGGCCACAGTTGTTCAGTGAAACACTGCAGTTGATAAGTTAGTAAGCCAGCTCTTAAGTGAAATTGGTTTTCCCCCGGACGACTTTGCTAGCCAGGAGGTCGCAAAAGGGGGATCGCGTGACTCTGGGACGCTGCAACCCGTCATAAACGTGAGTCAGTCGTCCAGCATCTGAATTTTGATCACGTGACCGTGGGGGATGCTGCAAAGATTGTAACTGTGAAAAACGGTCACTGGTCACTTTTTTTCAGGGCCGTTGTAACTTTGAATGGTCACTAAATGAACTGCTGTTTAAGTCGAGGACTGCCTGTATTCCTTGCAGACCGCTGGTCATTTGCTTTCTTCTAGAGGGTCGTTGAGGCCACTTGGAGGATTGTCTGTGTCCTCAGGGCCACCTGAGTGGTGTAAATGGGTGTGGGGGGTTCTTAGGACTGTGTTCCACACCCATTTGCACTACTCAGGTGACCCTGAGGACACAGACAAGCCTCCAAGTGGCCTCAACGACCCTCTGAAAAAATGCAAATGACCAGCTGTCTGCAAGGGGTATAAATCCTTCCGTTCCGCACCATCCAGGCAGAGCTGAAGAAGCTTCTGGGATGAGAAGCAAAATGTCTTCAAAGAAAAACCAGAAAGTCCAGTTGCCTCCTGAAAAAGTACCTTTGGGACAACCACGATCTGGATGACGGAGAATCTCCATAGTCATCTTCCTTTCCTGTATGTTCTGAGATGAATGCCCCATGAGCTGTTGCAAAGTCCCATTCTTCCCTCCTTGTCTTCTCTTTTGGGGGGGCCTCCCCGTGACCCCCATCCTCTTACCGGAAGAGTTTCTACTTAGCCTCTCTTCAGGAGTTAACCCTTTACATACTGTAACTAGGCCCTGTCTATAGAAACCATCTCTTCTTCTCCTTCCATCGTGAGCTTGGCTTCCAACTCAACCTCTCTCAGCTCTGAGCAGACACCGTAAGGGATGTTGCCCTATTCCAGCCTCAACAATCGAGTTTCTTTTGATATTTCTGCGCTACCATCAATTTGGCGCCATCGTTCCAGATTCAGTCCAACCCTTCTCTCTTCACACAAATTTTCAGTATGGGATTTTTAGTCAGCATAAGCTGAAAGATTTACTATCCACTCTACTCACGGTTCTTACTGGTGGAGATACGATCTAGAATGTTTTTTTTTCTTTTTCTTTTCTGAAACTGGAATAAGGAAGTCTAAAGAAAATGTATAATTTTGGAATCGGATCGCTAGGCCTTCGCGTTAAGATTTTAAATCTAAATAAAAACGTCCGTCTCTCTTTGAAGGCCTTTCAAAACTAACCAAATTTTAGCATGTATGCTTTGGGGAAAGAACTACGCCTGGTGGAGCAGACCGTAATAAATAAATTTGTCGCATACAATCGTCCTCGTGTATTTCCCCCCCCCCACAGACAGTATTTGCAAGTTCTTTCAGAATTTTCTTATTTTTTTCCCCCCAACAATGTATTGAGAGATCTCAGGTAAGAACGAAGGGATGAGGAGGAACATCTGGCTAAGGGCAGAGACGATCCCAGCCAGCCTGGTCAGCCATTGCTTCCCTGATCTCCTTAAGGTGGGGTGGAGGAAAATTTCTAGAGACTTCTTGTTTCTCCAGCAGGGACCATCCCCGCCTCTGTTGTCCCAGCTCCTGTTTTCCTGAGCCTCGCCCGAGACCCACGTCCTGATGTTGCCTTGGCCCTCTTTTCTTCTACGTGGTCTCGGACCATTAGTCTTGAGTTCCAGCCACTGAGTCCATCGTTTTGGCCCTCCAGCTTCTGGGGATGGCTTTTAATCCGTCTGCCTTCGTTTTCCTTCGGCACTGCTAAGATCGGCGGTGTTCTCCATCAGGAAGCCACACATGCCAAAGCGTGGATTATTTTTTTTTCATGAAAGGAGATTCGTGGAGACCAGGGTCGAATTTAAATTTCATTAACTGTCAATCAGAAACAGAAAGAGAAAGCTGAATGGATTACGTAGACGCTCGGCAACTGCCTGTTCTTTCTCTAGCTCAGGGGTCCCCAACCCCCGGTCCGTGGACCGGTACCGGGTCACGGCATGCCAGCAACCGGTCCGCACAAACAAGCAAAGTCCTATCCACGGGATACAAAACCACGCACCCTCCGGTCTGCGGAAAAACCTCTCTCCACGGAACCAGTCCCTGGTGCCCAAAAGGTTGGGGACCTCTGTTCTAGCTCATCCCATCAAGGTCACCCGGGCAGAACGTCCTGGAGCCCCATCCTTTGTGACATCCATAAATCCAGACCCACTTCTCAAAAAGCTGGGATCAGATTCACCAATGTGGCTTCCCCCCCTCCTGGTGCCCCCCCAAAATAAACTCATATATGAAGCCCAAATTTTATGGCAGCGGACCTGGTTATGGCAGCGGACCTGGTTATCTTCGAGACCGCCTCCTGCCACAGATTACCCCCCACCGACCTGTACGCTCCCACAGAGTGGGTCTCCTCAGGGTGCCGTCAGCCAGACAGTGCCGGCTGGCGACCCCAAGGGGGAGGGCCTTCTCTGTGGGAGCCCCCACCCTCTGGAACGAACTGCCCCCAGAGATCAGGGTGATCCCTGATCTCCCTTCCTTCCGCCNGGACTGGCCTAAGGGATTTTAAAGGGGTTTTAATTACTTTTAAATTTGACGTATCTAAATATTTCTTTTTAATCAATTTTTAATTAGATGTATATGTTAGTATTTTAATCATTGTCAGCCGCCCTGAGTCCGCAAGGAGAAGGGCGGGATATAAATGCAATTAAATAAATAAATAAATAAATAAATAAATAAATAAATATTCGTTTAAGAATTATCCTACAACGAGCTAAGGCTGTTTCGTTGCGGTTTCAATTTACCTGGAAGGAAGACGCTATCCTAGGGACACGAAATAAGCCATTTCTATCAAACAGGTTTAATGTTGCTTCCTTTTTTCTTTTTTTTTCCTTTTCCTCCTCCTCCTCCTCCTCCTCCTCTCCAGGCGAAATTAAACATTGGCTTTGGTGATCATTTTCTCCAGTAGATTCATCATTCTTTCCTGCAGCTGCAGAGTCTGCACTTGGATAATGTTCTGCTGGTCCAGAGTCCGTCTAACTTCCCGGCACGTTTCCTCCATGGCTCTGCTCAGCTTCTTCTGCTCTTCCAGCATGGCTTCCATCAGCTTCAGCTTCTTTTTTTGGAAACTGCAGCTTTGCGCTTTTCGTTTCTTCACCGGTCGCTCTTCTGCTCTGAAACGGAAAGTCCTCGGCATTAGAACCCCTTCGGGCCAGGCCATCCTCTTCCCAACGTGACGCTATCGAAATCATGTGCAGGCACATCCCACCCACCCCTGCATAATAACCAAGACGAGGTAACGTAGAATAATAAAAAAAAATAAAGAGAAAAGCTTGAAAAGTTATCGGCAGAAGAAGCCGGAGATTGGACGGACCTTGGAGTCCCGATGGACGAGCACTTAAATAGGAGCCAGCTGTGTGCGGCGGCGGCAGCCAAAAAAGCGAATGCAATCCTTATATAAACAGAGGCGTAGAATCAAAATCACGTGAAGTATTATTAGTACCGCTTTATAAGGCCTTAGTAAGGCCACCCCTGGAATCCTGCGTCCAGTTCTGGTCACCACGTTACAAAAATGATGTTGGGACTTTGGAAAAAGTGCAGAGAAGAGCAACTAAGATGATTAAAGGCCTGGAGAGTAAAACATGTGAAGAACGGTTGCAGAATTTGGGTTTGGCTAGTCTAGAGAAAAGAAGGACTGGGGGGGGGACACATGATAGTAGTATTCCAGTATTTGAGGGGCTGCCACAAAGAAGAGGCAGTCAAGCTATTCTCCAAAGCACCAGAAGGCAGAACTAGAAGTAACGGATGGAAACTAATCAAAGAGAGAACCAACCTGGAATTAAGGAGAAACTTCCTAACAGTGAGAACAGTTAACCAGTGGGACAGCTTGCCACCAGAAGTTACAGGTGCTCCATCACTGGAGGTTTTTAAGAAAAGACAGGGCAGCCCCCCTGTATGATATAGTGTAGGGTCTCCTGCTTGTGCAGGGGGCTGGACTAGAAGGCCTCCAAGGTCCCTCCCAGCTCTATTCCGATTGATGGTGTTGCTTGAAATGTTCCGTCCTCGTCTCTTTGTTGGGAAAAAAACCCCCCATCTTAATTCAAAGTTTCATCTGAATGGTTCACTGGTACCAATTTGGCGTAGATGTCTCTTCCTGCTTTACAACACTCCACCCCCCCCTCAGCAGTTTTTCCTTGTGGCCTCCCAACCACGCCAGGCCAAACGCATCAGATTCGAAAGTAAAAAAAGGTGGTGGTTTACCTTAATTTATACGAAATTAGGCTGGAGGAGCTGTCTGAATGCGCGTCTTCGAAGAATTCCTCTCGTCCTTCGTACGTGAACTGATTGTAGGGCAAATAGAGAGGAGCCGATTTGGTGGAGGGTGATTGGGACGCTTCCGTTTGAGAGGTGGAAGGACCGGCTTGCTGGCTATCGTGAACTTTCACGTCATTGTGCTCCGAGACTTTGGATAGAATTCTATCAATGGTTTTGAAATAAGGCCAATCAGGAGCCAAGGTTTCGCTATCTGTCATGCATTTTAATTTCCTGCGACGATAAAAAGCACATATCATGTACGCCGACATGCATCACACACGGGAATAAAAGAGATTGACCATAAGCCAGGGGTCTTCAAACGTGGCCCTTTCATGACTGGTGGACTTCAACTCCCAGAATTCCTCAGCCAGGCTGAGGAATTCTGGGAGTTGAAATCCACCAGTCATAAAAGGGCCAAGTTTGAAACCCCCTGCCATAAAGCATAGCATCTAGTAGCTAAAGAAATTTTAGCCCACCCAAAAAAACCTTTTGTCTACTTCAACTGACTCTGCTAGGAAGGCTTCTGTCTAAAAATCCAAAATTTAATCCTTCTCTTCAGATCTGTCTCTGGCGACCGCTAAAAGACGTAATACAGATAGTCCTCGGCTTACAACCTCTCACTTAGTGACTGTTGCAAGTTACAGCGGCCGTGAAACAAGGCGACCTTTTTTTTCACACAACCGTGGTGTCATCCGCTTGGTCACGTGACCAAAATCCAGACGCTTGGCAACTGATTCATATTTGTGACGGTTGCAGCGTCCCGGAGTCCTGTGAGCTCTTTTTGCGATCTTCTGACAAGCAAAGTCAACGGGGAGGCCCGATTCGCTTAGCAAATTAGTGTTGCTAATTTAAGAGCTGCAGTGATTCGCTTAACGGCTGTGTTGAGAAAGGATGGAAGGCTGAGTCAACCTTGAGCCCGTCAGGATCGAACTCCCGGCAGCCGGCAGTCAACCTGCAATGCTGCATTCTAACCCCTGCACCACCACCACCACCACGCCTCTTCTCGCAAGGCTTCACATGTGTACTCTTTAGGTCCTGCCTGAGATGATTTGAGACAAGCAATGTCGACGTGAATTCCTGAGCCCTTCCAACTCCTGGTATGGATGTTGAAGTCTCCCCTCCCCCCCCAATTAAAAAATGGGGACTTTATCAGCAGACTAGGGACCACTTGCAAGGACCTGGGAAGGGATATTCTACTGGACAGCAGGCTGGTAAATGTCCAGATCTTTGGTCACAAACATGGCATGTATGAGAATGAGTGTCCCCCATCCCCCACTTTGGTGTTGGACCTGAAACTCAGGTGGACAAATCTCAAGAACATGCAGCATTAAAAGATCCTTGGTAGACACTCTATCTTCAATCGATGAGGTTTGTATAATACATGCCAAATTTGCTGTTAATTCATTACTAAATCCTGGATAATGTAGTCTGAGTGTTCACCTTGGAACTGGACATCTCAGCTATCTGACCATCTAGATCTCTAGTTGAGGGACTGGGTCACAAATGGAGATTGACAATGCATTGCTTCCCCTGACATATTTATCTCTTTCTTGCCTCAATTATAGATAGATAGATAGATAGATAGATAGATAGATAGATAGATAGATAGATAGATAGATAGATAGATAGATAGATAGATAGATAGATAGATAGATAGATAGATAGATAGACAGACAGACAGACAGACAGACAGACAGACAGACAGACAGACAGACAGACAGACAGATGATAGAGATAGATAGATAGATAGATAGATAGATAGATAGACAGATTAGATAGATAGATAGATAGACAGACAGATTAGATTGATAGATAGATAGACAGACAGACAGACAGACAGACACAGATAGATATAGACAGACAGACAGATACACAGATAGATAGACAGACAGATAGATAGATGGATGATAGATAACCTTTATTGTCATTTTTTTGTTGTGGGCACAATGGCACACATTAAAAATGAAATTTAGTTCCTTGCTCTCAAAGTGTACACATACATAACACACATTTAAACATGCTTTATATAACATATACAGACCTGTACCCTTACATATAAGTAACATATAAATATTAATCACTGTCTATCTTGAATATATAGCTCAACTGGATGTGGCTGCCAGCCTGTCAGACAACTCTATGGACTAGACCAATTCAATTTTGCAACCTGTATGAACAACGGATGGAAACTAATCAAGGAGAGAAGCAACTTAGAACTATGGAGGATATTTCCTGACAGTTAGAACAATTAACCAGTGGAACAACCTGCCTCCAGAAGCGGTGAATGCTCCAACACTGGAAGTTTTTAAGAGACTGGACAGCCATTTGTCTGAAATGGTCTAGGCTAGGGTCTCCTGCCTGAGCAGGGGGTGGACTAGATGACCTCCAAGGTCCCTTCCAACATTATTATTATTATTATTATTATTATTATTATTATTATTATTAATCTACTTATGATACAGGCAGTCCTCGACTTACGACCACAATTGAGCCCAAAATATCTGTGATTAAGTGAGACATTTGTCAAGTACGTTTTGCCCCATTTTACGACCTCTCTTGCCTCAGTTGTTAAGTGAATCACTGCAGTTGATAAGTTAATAACCGGGTTATTAAGTGACTTTGCTTGTCCAAAGATCGCAAAAAGGGATCCGTTGACCTTGTGACACAGCAACGGTCATAAATACGAGTCAGTTGCCCGGCGTCTGAATTTTGATCCCGTGATCCTGGGAATGCTGCAAAAGTTGTAACTTTTAAAATAACATTTAGCAAACAACATGTGGTCTGGGTTCATGTATTTAAAAAACAATAAGTAATAGTTCATGTCTATATTATCATAATCAATATGTGAGTTAATCGCTCAGAAATCTTCTTCCTACTAGTGTATATTCAATGTTACATAGTACATATCATGTTCCTTTTTCTCTAACTCTTAACCCTAATCCCAACCCTGATCCTAACCCTAACCCTAAAACTAATCCTAAAAAAAATAATAAAATCTATCTATCTATCTATCTATCTATCTATCTATCTATCTATCTATCTATCTATCTAAATATAGATAGATAGATAGATAGATAGATAGATAGATAGATAGATAGATAGATAGATAGATAGATAGATAGATAGATAGATAGATGGATGGATGGACGGACGGACGGACGGACGGACGGACGGACGGACGGACGGACGGACGGACGGACGGACGGACGGACGGATGGATAGAAGAGAGGAAGAGATAGATATATGTATGATAGATAGATAGATAGATAGGAAAGGAAGAGATAGAGGGATGTATATATGATAGATAGATAAATGAATGGATGGATGGATAGATGAGAGGAAGAGAGAGAGGGATGTATGTATTATAGATAGATAGATAGATAGATAGATAGATAGATAGATAGATAGATAGATAGATAGATAGATAGATAGATAGATAGATAGATAGATAGAAAAAGTTGTAACACCCATTCACAGACCAAGCTGAAGAGGAGAAATGTACCAAAGTCCACGACAAACACCTATTTGCAGATTTGAACGAAACCAGAATTTCAACCATCGCCACTTAGAACGCATCATTTAGTGACCGTTCAAAGTTACAAGCTGGCCGCAGAGTTGACGACTCCAAAAGCATTTCTCCCTCTTTTCCATCTCTCTCTCTCCCCACCCTCTTTTTTGCTCTGAGAGAAAAAAAAAAATTAGGAGCACAAAGACCGGGATAAATTCAAATCCACGGAGCGCTTTCCGCCTTTTTAAACTTTCCCAGTCCGTTCCTGCAATCTCTCCAGGCCTACATGTACAGTATCAGACCGGAAGCACGTCACAAATTCAACTCTTTTCCTACACAGAAACTTGTGGGGGAAAGTTTCCCTCCGGTGAAAATTAAGGAGGAGGCAAAAAAGTCAAGATGGCAGCCTTGAACGCCATTGCAGGGGGAGGAGCCCCTGCCCTGCTTTTGAGCGCGGACACCCCAACGAAAAGTCAAATAAAATAAGACTTCGCATCTTAAAAACGTTTTTCAGGGCCCTTTTGAAGTTGCACTCCGTTGACGGAGACGGGATGGAGATGATCTCCTAACTCAAGCCAGGAGGCGCGTCGGAATAACTTTGCTATCCTGGCAGGATGGTGCATTGAGGAAAAGGAGACAGCAAAGGGTCTCGGATCGCCTGGCCGGCATTTAATGCCCTCCAAGAGCAGATCTGGACAGAGAAAATAAGAAGCACGCGTCCCTCGTTCCTCTTTTTGGGCGGGCATGAACGGCGTTTTTTAGGTCTGGCTTATTTGTCTGGCTGGCTGGGTTCAGGGGCAAACGGCACCCAGATTGGCACAGCTCCCTTGGGAAAGGTTGACTGGGCTTGGTCTGCTCTCATACCCTGCAGAACCGGGTCGTGCCACTCTGGACCGTCCTTGTTTGCCTGGCATCTTTGGCTGCTGTCCATGCCTGCCCTGTTTCCCCAGCCAGCACCTTTTGTGGTTTGCCCCCAAATCCCACACCTTCTGGGCCAGTGGGATTCCCCAGAGAGTCCTGAAACGGCCTGGCACCTTCTGGGCATCGATCCAGCTGCTGCTTACCTGTACTGAAAGGTCATGTTGGTGATTTTGATCTTGATCTCTTCTCCGTGCCGGATTTCGCCCGTCATCTCGAAGAGTTTGTTGGCCATTTTCTCGTAAACTTTGGCGTTCCGCTTGGTCTGTTTCAGCTCCTCGAAGAATTCCTCCCAGACCAGCATCAGACCCCGCATCTCGGCTTCGGTCCAGTTGCGTGCCCGGCGATGCTTCTCGCTCTGGGTGGACAGCAGACATCCAGCGGGGGCCGGGACTGCAGCCATGGCAGCTGCCGGCCCCGAGGAGGCTCTTCACACACACACACACACACACAGAGACACAGACACAGACACACAGACACACACACACACAGAGCCGGGGCAAGCACAACCCTCGGCTGGGGCGCACAAGATGGGGCCTACATCTGACAGGCTGGAATTTAGCTAAAAGCTTTTAAACAGAGGGACGTCATTTCGATGTCACGTTTCCATAGCAACCGAGCAACTGCATAAGCTACCAACAACAAAAACCTTTTAACTGAAAGGGGAAGAATCAGGACAAAGTTGACAGGCCATCAATATTAAAGCTTTTAACCACATTAGGCTTAACTAAGCCGCCCGCTCGCCCGCCCGGGCACACAAACACACTCACGCTTGCACACACACACACACACACACACACACACAGAGGCAGGCAGGAAAGGCAAGGCAGGCTGGCCCCCTGGATCCCTCCCCATCGGAGCAGCCTCCATCTCAAGCCGTGAGGCAGCTGAAAAGACCCCCCCCCCAAAAAAAGGATGCAAATCCCCTGCCTGGCGAGCCTTTATGGCCGAACCGGCATCTGCCTGTGTGGGTCAGGGGTCTCTCTGGGGAACCCCCCTGCAGTCTCGGCACCGGCAAGGCAAGGAGGGCACCTTCACGTGCCAGGCCCAGCTGCGGCAGGGCAAGTGCCCACCGTGCCACAGAGGGTGGGATATAGTATATAACAGTGATGGCGAACCTTTTAGAGACCGAGTGCCCCCAAACTGGTCCCGCCCCCTCTCCACCCCCTGCCGTGCCTCCGCTCCGCCCCCACACCGTCCCCCACCCCGCCTGCCCGCAGGGCCACTCACCGCCTCCAGGGCCCGCCGCAGATCGCCCAGGCAGCCCAGCAGCGCCATGGCGGCCACACCCTCTGCCCGCACCCCGCAGCATCAACTGTGCGTGATGGGGCGTGAGGGCAGAGTCTTGTCTACACTGCCTGGCTGCCATGTCCTTGGCCGCGCTGCTCCGCGTGGGCCACGCTCGGGGGCGACTCTCCTTCAGGGGGTCGTGGGGGGGAGGCGAGGCTGGGGCAACGGCATGTGTGCCCACAGAAAGGGCTCCGAGTGCCGCCTCTGGCACGCGTGCCATAGGTTCGCCACCACTGGTATATAACTATATCCCACCCAGGAACTGGGTACGGCCAGTCTAGAGAAAAGAAGGACTCGGAGTGACAGGATAGCAGTATTCCAATATTTGAGGGGCTGCCACAAAGAAGAGGGGGTCACGTTATTCTCCAAAGCATCTGACAAGCAGTTGGTTTATGTTATTAGGCAAAACCTGGCTCAAAAACAGTAGCTGTGAGAGGGACCTTGGGAATCCCAGCGGACGATCACTTAAATCAGTGTTTCTCAACCTTGACAATTTTAAGGCATGTGGACTTCAACTCCCAGAATTCCACAGGCAGCATTGCTGGCTGTGGAATTCTGGGAATTGAAGTCCACATGCCTTAAAATTGTCAAGGTTGAGAAACACTGACTAAAATCTAAGCCGGCAGTGCGCGGCAGCAGCCCAAAGAGCTAACACAATCCTTGGTTGTATCAACAGAGGCGTAAGAATCAAGATCACGTGAAGTATATTAATACCGCCTTATAAAACCTTAGTTAAGATCACACCTGGAGCCCTGCGTCCAGTTTTGGTCAAAAAAGATGCCGAGACTTTGAAAAAAAAAAGTGCAGAGAAAAGCAATTGAGATGATCCAAGGCCTGGAGACTAAAACATAGGAAGAACGGTTGCAGGATTTGGGAATGGCCAGTCTAGAGAAAAAAAGGACGGGGGGGGGGGGACATGATAGCAGTATTCCAATATTTGAGGGGCTGCCCCAAAGAAGAGGGGTGTCAACCTATTCCCCAAAGCTCCTGAAGGCAGGACAAGAAACAACGGATGGAAACCAATCAAGGAGAGAAGCAACCTAGAACTAAAGAGAAACTTCCCGACAGTGAGGACAAATAACCAGTGGAACAGCTTGTCACCAGAAGTTGTGGGTGCTTCATCGCTGGAGGTTTTGAAGAAGAGACTGGACAGCCACTTGTCTGGAATGGTATAGCGTCTCCTGCTTGAGCAGGGGGCTGGACTAGAAGACCTCCAAGGTCCCTTCCAGCTCTATTCTGAATTGAATTTGAAAGGAGTCTTGCTGTTTGGAGTCTTGCTGCGGTGCCAGGAGGTACCTACGAGAAAGAAGGGCTGCAGATTCAAGAGCTGCTGCCCAGCCCCATCGTGGGTTGATGGGATAGGAGGCGGAAGGGCCACAGCAGGGCCATCCCAGGATCCTCGTGGTGCCGCCTTGGGGGGGGGGCAAATGGCTGAGAGATGCAGGCAGGGGTCAGTTCCCTGAAAGACGAACGGAAGGGACGGGCACCAGCGAGAGAAACCCCCAGGGGAAGATGGCCCAGCATCAGGACCACCCAACAGACGGTTGGCACAATCTTTGCGGGGTCACCCCTTGCGCTTTAGCGTTCTCAGCTGGAAGAAGGGATCGACAAACTCAGGGGGGTCCGGAAGGAAGCGGAGAAAAAGGGGAAGCCTCAATTCTTCCTTCTTGGCTGGTTTCTGATTCTTGCACAATTGCTGTTTTCCCCCCGAAAGCAGCGCTCAAACACGTTTCCCGAAAGCAGCCTTGAAAAATGTTTCTTTTTTTCCTGAAAGAAACTCTCAAAAAAGTGTTTTGTTTTTAAGGTAAAGTGGAGATGCTCTAAGGCTGGGCAGCAGATGTACGGCCCAAGAGATTTTTTGGAGTGGGGAGAGCTAAAATATATCCAATAAATGACGAATTGACGATGATAATGATGGAAGGCCTGTCCCGCTGTTTTGTAGAGCGTGGGATAAGATCATTTTGATAAATTAAAAACCTCACTTCTAACTAGCACGGATGATGTTACTTAGTTGGGTCATGAAAGGTCTGCAAGAAAACATGCAAGCTCAGAGAGCACTAAGGACCCCACAGTTGTCGTCGTCGTCTTCTTCTTCTTCTTCTTCTTCTTCTTCTTCTTCTTCTTCTTCTTCTTCTTCTTCTTCTTCTTCTTCTTCTTCTTCTTCTTCTTCTTCTTCTTCTTCTTCTTCTTCTTCCTTCTTCTTCTTCTTCTTCCTTCTTCTTCTTCTTCTTCTCCTTCTTCTTCCTCCTTCTCCTCTTCTTCTTCTTCTTCTTCCTTCTCCTCCTCCTCCTCTTCTTCTTCTTCCTCCTCCTCCTCCTCTCCTCCTTCTCCTCCTCCTTCTTCTCCTCTTCTCCTTCTCCTCCTCCTTTCTGCAAACCCCCTCCCTTCTAGCACTGATGGTGTTACCTAGTTTGGGTCATGAAACGTCTGCAAGAAAACCACTACGCTTCGAGAGCATCCAGGACCCTCATTTCAACCCTGAGCTGCAAAAATTCTCCTTTATTGATAATAGCATTTTTTTTTCTTCTTGAAACGAAGAAGCAAAATCCGGATATCTACAAGCAGGCTCATTGGAAACCTGAAGGCAGAAAAGTAATGGGACTTTTTTCCAGCTACCCTTTTGATTTTAGACCAATGAAAAGCATTTTCCCTGTTTGGAGCCAGGGTTTTTTTTTTTTTTAGTTAAATAACGCAGATCTACAAAATAACAGCTGGTCAACAACCCGAAGGTTAGTTTAAACTCCGTTTAATAAATAATTTGTATGCATACATCCAATGCCGTTGCATATATTTTTATACGTACATTATGTACACCAATGCGGTTCGTATTCCTTCCGATAAAATTTAAATTTTGTTAGCAAGAAAAAAAAACAGAAAAGAAAAACTATGGAGATGAATTCTATCACAGGAACGTGACACTAAAGTTCAAAAGGCCGAACGTCCCAGCCCGATTTGGTCTCGCAAGGAGGCATCCACAGCTCCGCATGGGAAAAGCACGTGGTCCTGCAACCTCCGGCCCAGGATGATGGGCTTCTGGGCATCTCTTGCACTGGGGCTGGGGGGGGAGGAGGGAGTGGCACAGAAGAGTCTCTGCGGTACTGGTAGTCAGTGGCTGGAAGAGGCCTAGTCCCTGGCCTCTTGGATCGCCCTGGGCAGCCTTCACAGCTGGCACACCTGGCAGAGGGAATGAAAGGACTGGGCCAGCCCAGCCTCTTGCCCAGCTGCCTTCCCAGATGGATGGGTCTGATAGGGACCCCTCTGGATCTGGAAAAGAGGGGAAGGGTCTGCTACATTTCAGTAGGAGAGGGAGAGAGAGAAGCCGCAGAATTTAGGACAGTGACCGACTGGGAAGCAGAAGTCATGCAAGAGAGAACGGGAGACAGGGAGTGTGAGATTGCAATAGTGCAGGGCTGTGTCTATGTGTGTGTGTGTGTGTGTGTGTGTGTGAGAGAGAGAAACAAGAGAAGTGTCCTTGCCAGCTTTTGCGAACGAGTCGGTCCAGTTTTGAACTGCAGATCCCAAACTCCCAAACTTCACTCACGTCCCACCACAAGGTGCTATTCGCCTGTTGATCCTCTAAAACCGTGCAATGTTTCTCAACCTTGGCCACTTTACGATGTGTGGACTTCAACTCCCCAGAATTCTCCAGCTAGTGTGGCTAGCTGGAGAATGTTGGGAGTTGAAGGCCGCGCATCGTAAAGTGGCCAAGGTTGAGAAACACTGCGACCGTCTAAAGAGTCGCAACAAGGTCACAAGAATCAGGATTGGTTCCCAGTCGGTTTGCAAAGTTTGCTTAGTCCAAACCCACTGCGGTGACTTCAGTCCAAAAGCACCCTTATTGTAAGGAGAGATTTCCTAACAGATGCTCACTTCAAAGGGTTGTGTTTGTTTTTTTTGCAAAGTGTCTGCTTCCTTCCCCCACCCCCCACCCCACGCTTGCTAATTCCGGTGAATCCAAACCACCTCCGTAAAATTCTCTCTCTCTTTTAAACGTCCAACTGAAACTCATCAATATATTGAAACTTTTCAAAGAGTAGCGTACAAAAGACGAAACCAGAGTTTTAAAAGGTGACGCGGGAGTGCATGTAAAAAAATAGGCCTAAGGAACGCACGATAGGAAACGGTCACGAACTATTCAACATACTGTACGTGGCAAAAATCTTGCTTTTAATCGTTTTAAGTGCTTCCCAGCCTCACTCCGTTCCCGTGTCTTAACGTACTATACACCGTTTAGAACTATTTACATTGGCTGTTTTTAAAACCGAGATATTGATCCAACTTTTAAATCTAGAGGTATAAAAGGAAGTATATTGTCGTATGTCTCATTTCCCCACTCTTATAGACCAAAATATGTTGGAGTGTGCATAATATATATATATATATATTCAGTGTGTGTTTTTTTCCCCTTTTCTCTCTTGTCACCTTAGGAAATAACTACAAATCGCAACAGGACACTTGCAGCTAGATGAAACTAAAGGCTTTTTAAATGTCTGTGAGCCGATACTGCAGAATTCACGAGGTTCAGAATTAACAATATACAAATTTAAGCCAAGATGAGCTGTTTGCTTCGCGTCAATATTTTGTCCGTAGCTTACTTAGGTGTCGTTTTGCTTCACAAAAACCGTGCTTTGTGTCGCTTGGCCCAGCCACCGTGTTTCATCTCGATTACGTCGGTTGCCGTTTTGGGGTTGGGAAAATTAAATAAAACCAGGCAAAGGGTTTGCCAAGGACCTCCGTTGCGTAAGACACACACGCGTTCAACTTCCCAGTCCCTTCCCGTGCTTCCTCGGCCCTCTTTCAACACGGGGTGATCTTGTGTACGCTTTGCAAGCAGGTCAGCAGGCGGTGATACGGATTCCCCGGCGAGGAGACCACTTCAAAGATCGACTGGAAGGCTCGGCGGTCCAGTTCTTCGTCTATCTGATGCCTATAAAAATCTATGGCCACCAGGCAGAACAAATTGACGTCTATTTGCTCCGATTTCCCCATTCTGCTGATAATGTGTGGGAGACTTCCAGGAAAAAAAAAAAGGGTCAAGGATAATATAACAAAGACGTAGCTCAGTGGTGGTGAACCTGTGGCACGGGTGCCAGAGGCGGCACTCAGAGCCCTCTATGTGGGAACACACACCGTCGCCCCAGTCCTAGGCCTTCAGCTGGGTTTTATAAAACCTTTTCGCTTTAGGCCTCCGCCGCCGTGTGCAAAAAAAAAAAGGTTCAATCAATTAGTCAATTTCAACTTCTCGCGAGAAAAAAAAAGATCTTGCAAAGTTGGAATTGAACTTTTTACTCCCACCTAGTCTGCCGTTACCACCACAGCCACGCCCACCCAATGGGCCACGCCCACCCAATGGGCCACACCCACCCAATGGGCCACGCCCACCCAGCACCCGACGATGCATAAGTGGGTTTTGGGTTGCAGTTTGGGCACTCGGTCTCTAAAAGGTTCGCCATCACTGATGTAGCTGGTAAAATGTCACGAACTTCTAACTCTACTATTTCCTCAGTGAAGCTAATACAGTTCATTTGTCTAGTTTAACGAAGAGAAGGACGAGGGGGGACATGGTAGCAGTCTTCCAATATCTCAGGGGCTGCCCCAAAGAAGAGGCAGTCAAGCTCTTCTCCAAAGCGCCTGAAGGCAGGACAAGAAGCAACGGGGTGGAAACTGATCAAGGAGAGAAGCAACCTGGAACTAAGGAGAAACTTCCTAACAGTTAGAACAATTAACCAGTGGAACAACCTGCCTCCAGAAGCGGTGAATGCTCCAACACTGTAAGTTTTTAAGAAGAGACTGGACGGGCATTTGTCTAAAATGGTATAGGGTTTCCTGCCTGAGCAGGGGGTTGGACTAGATGACCTCCAAGGTCCCTTCCAACTTTATTATTGTTATTGTTATTGTTGTTGTTGTTGTTGTTGTTGTTGTTGTTGTTGTTATTATTATTATTATTATTATTATTATTATTATTATTATTATTATTTTTCTGACCCCACCTCCGTTTTCCCACTGGAAACCAAACGGTCAACTCCTCCCTTCCCAAGGAGAATCGCGCGAACCAAATCGCGCACGTCAGAGAGGATACATCCCCGAAATCCACTGGCTGGTGGAAGCGCTGACAAAAAAACAGGAGAGGCTCCACATCGCCATGGCGATCGGCGTGCGCTGCGTAAAGTTGGAGAGCGACAGCATCACCCAGTCCCGGACCATGGAGGACTGACCGGTCGTGTGCAACGTCTGGAAGACCTACAAAAAGAAAGACCGATCGTGGTGGCTCGCAGGCTTTGGCAAAGTCATTTGGTCAACGCAACAAATATATAAAACTGCATTACTTTGGGGCTGCTTACCGCGTCCTTCGCCCAGTGAAGGTTTTTAGGCGTACTGATTTTTTTAAAAAAAAATCTATTATTTTAAGAATAGAACTTTGCTTAGTGACTGTCCGAAGTTACAACGGCACTGAAAAAAGGGGACTTATGACCGTGGTTCACACTTATGACCGTTGCAGCGTCCCCACAGTCAGGTGATCAAAATTCGGACGCTCGGCAACCGACTCGTACTTACGACGGTTGCAGTGGTCCCCGGGGGGAGGTCATGTGTTTTACCCCTTTTGCGACCTTCTGACCAGCAAAGTCAATGATTCGTTTAACAACCAAGTTACCGACTTGATAACTGCAGGGATTCGCGTAACAGCTGGAGGCGAGGAAAGTCGTAAAAGGGGGACACAGCTCGGTTAACAAATGTCTCACTTAGCAACATAAATTCGGGGGCTCGGTTGCGTTGGTCAGCCGAGGACGGCCTGCACACCTAACCAGATTTGTGAAAATAAGAACAGGCGCTAATATCCCGAAAGGGGTCCCCCTCTGCACCAAAGCAGGGGGAGAGCTTGGAACCGTCTCATTTATTCAGGGCGAGGACTTTGCATATTATTATTTTTTTCCCCCGTCTTTTTTTCCCACAAGGACAGAAAACAGGATCGGGACGGATGCCGCTGAGATTGGAGAGGGAAAGAAACACCCGTCTAAAACCTAAACTAGTGAGACCAACTTCAGTGGCCCAGAAGAAAAATTGGGAATTGGGAGGGGACGCTCCTTCCCAGCCAGGACTTTGGAGTAATCCTGCTTGGCCCAATATCTCTGCCCACCCCACCCCACCCCATCCCCAAAGCCACCATCTGGGGCATTGGGTAGAGCCCTGGACGCCTCGCTGTAATTTTCAACCGAGGTGGGAAAACCGGGCAGGAAGGGTGTAATGGATCCTGTCCTGTGTGGAAAAGCTACAGCAGCGTCAGACCTGGACAGCACCGCAAGCTTGTGCCCACAGCCTCTGTCCCCATTGGTGGACGACACAATCTTCTGGAGAAAGCTGAAGTGGACGTCCCCATCTTCTCCATCCAAACTAATCTGGACGTGAAGCTCAAGAGAAGATCCCAGCCAGGGGGAGGGCACTGGAGGGCGGCAGCAGCCGTGGTGTCAAGGTAATGACAAGGTAACAGCTAACCAGCTGATGTAATGTAAGATGTAATGATGGGAATGGCTCAGCAGGGTCTGTGTCTCTTTAAGAGCTTTGTATAAAAGGGATGTGTGCTCTCTCTTCCTGCTGTAACTGCTGTGTGTTGGATTCTGCTGTATTACCACGTGTATGTATGTTGTTCCTGGTGTATGATATTGTAGATAGTGTAAGATAAACCACCATTTAATACAGACCACTGTTTACTGTGTTTACTCCTGGGTTATCTCAGCCCAATAAGACTGTGCACGCTCTGACACGTGGCATCCGCAATGCTGAGGCCTGGGAAGGCTCGTCCCCCACCCCCACCCGCAAGGCTACCCAAGACCTACCCACCCCCTTACCTTACCAAAACCTTACCTTGTAGAGTACTTTCGCCATGAATTGTGGGTAGGGTTGCTGGTTGGATAAAAATTCTCCAATCACTTTATTCATCACGTCTTGCGGGGGGAAAAAGTCATCCAGAAACTGGGGGAGGATCCGAGTGACCACCCGGGCCTCAAAGGGGAAGCCTTTCCTGACCCTGCGGAGAGAGGCCGGCCATCAGTCCCCCGGGGCCGGCCAGCGCCTCCCTCCCGCGCAGGGCGAATGGCTGAGCCCAGCTCTTCTCCCTTCCAGGCCCCCCCGATGTCAGAACCGCCATCGTACGCTTGAGCTTCGCATTCACTAGTGCTTTGCCCTTGAGCAGGTGTCTCTGGATGGTACGATGAGTCGTTAGTCTTCCCTCCTCTTGTCACTAGCCAGACTAGATACTGTATGTCCTGTGGAAGAGACCCTGGGTCTCCCTCCCGGATTAGAAGGCTGGTGACTCGCAGGGTCCTGGAAAGAGGCACTCTTGTGATGCCCAAGCAACACCTTTTGCGCTTCTGGATAGGCAACATGGGAATGGGAAGCCCAGGCTCCTTCAGTTTTTTTTCTAGCTTTGCCCGTTTCAGGGGGGCTGTTTATACTCAAGACCTTCCCTCAGATTTTGGCGTTATCACCCAAACTCAGAGAATCATCTTTGGATTCCCACAGTATCGTTTATACCAGAGGTCTTCAACCTTTCTAGCTTGGTGGACCGGCGGGGGGGGGGGGCAGCGGAGAGGGGATGGTCCTGTGAAGGTAGCGGGGCGCGATCTTGCGCAGACAACTCCATTTACACATGCAGCGGGTGCGTGCGCCGCCACTTACATAAATGGAGCTTGTGCGGCCCAGTTTTGAACGGTAGCGGGCCACAGTCCAGGAGTTGGGGACCCTCTGGTTTAAACAATTAACATTTATAAATGGAAAATAACTGAGAAATTGCAATTGTTTCAGGCGGGGACTAATTCTTCCTAGCTGGAGAAGAGGACTTTCTGTTCCTACCGGTCAAAGAGGACAGACACTCGCTCCATCGCCACGATGACCGATTCGCTGTCCGGAGCTGCCGGGTGGTGATCTGCGCTTCGTCCGGGACTGACTTTCTCTTTTCCTAAAGCCGCAATCGGGGGGGGAGGGGGAGGGAAGGATAAAAATAAGAATCATTATTACAATCTCATGAGATCAATCAAATTGAAAAGAAAGGACGATTCACAGAATGTAGGCAATTCAGCTACGCCAGGGGTAGGCAACCTTGGCTCTTTTATGACTCGTGGACTTCAACTCCCAGAATTCCTGAGCCAGCATGGCTCAGTTTGAAAACCTCTCCCTTTCCCCTCAGCATGGCTGGCTCAGGAATTCTGGGAGTTGAAGTCCACCAGTCATAAAAGGGCCAAGTTTGAAGACCCCTCAGTTAGAGGAACATATGAAAGCATAATTAATGTTAATTAATGTAGACTTTATTAGTTTAGAGCAGGGGTAGGCAACCTTGGTTCTTTTATGACTGGTGGACTTCAACTCCCAGAATTCCTGAGCCAGCATGGCTCAGCTTGGAAACCTCTCCCTTTCCCCTCAGGAATTCTGGGAGTTGAAGTCCACCAGTCATAAAAGGGCCAAGTTTGAAGACCCCTCAGTTAGAGGAACATATGAAAGCATAATTAATGTTAATTAATGTAGACTTTATTAGTTTAGAGCAGGGTTAGGCAACCTTGGCTCTTTTATGACTGGTGGACTTCAACTCCCAGAATTCCTGAGCCAGCATGGCTCAGCTTGGAAACCTCTCCCTTTCCCCTCAGCATGGCTGGCTCAGGAATTCTGGGAGTTGAAGTCCACGAGTCATAAAAGAGCCAAGGTTGCCTACTCCTGGCTACGCTGTACTATCAGTTGTGACATAGGCTCACGACACAAGCATTGTCAGAAGCGCTGCTGAGGGTTTTCTACTTCACAATGTTTAGTTCTTTTTTTTTTTAATAATAATATTTTATTAATTTTCCAATTTTACATTTGAATATTTAAAAAGCAACGTGGTGACTGGGTTACAATAGTTCAATAGCAAAATCTTAGTGCAAATCTCAGGTTACAACATCAAATATTTCTTCTCTTTTTCCCTTAACATTCACTGTCTCATATTCAAGTTAGTACATTTCTAATTATATCAACTCAATAAGAACATCATTATTACATTTATCAATACATTTTTAGCTTATACATATCTTAACTACATTCAATCTTCATAAACAATCCATATCCTGTTATTGATTTTTACTCAATTTTTAATTTCTTATCAATATTCCAATTTAACCTTCGATATTTATAATTTTCAGACTTTGGGTAACCAAAATTTCCTTTCTCTCACTTCATAACAAACTATGATATCCAAAATACACATTTTATCTATTTGACTATAATCTTGTTCTATTTCCTAAGAGTTATCTATTTCCCATCATATTCAATCATCTACTTAATAACACAATATCCCCTTTAATAAATCAAAACCATTATATATAATGCCTGGGTTAATCAATAAATCCAACATATTCATAATATTTAACTTTCTTTCCACTTTTAAGTCTAATTTTTAAATTTTTAAACCAATAAAATCCTTACTTTCAACTGGTTTCCAAATATTATAAATTTAATAGCAGAAATGTTTAGTTCTTTGCTTCGGTAGGAGTCCATGATGACACACACCAAAGTGTTTCGGTGCTGTCTGAGCTGTGTTGTTTTTTGTGCAGGCGCTTCGTTACCCGACTAAGTGAAACCGAGAGCGCTGAAGATGCTCCCTAGTCAGGAAACGAAGCATCTGCACAAAAGCAACCCAGCTTAGATCCCCATCCAGGATCTACAAAACCAGGTTTGTTGAAAAAGACTAGCTGGAGAATGGTCACTGCAGTTGTAAAGAAAAAAGGTCACACTTGTGACCGTTGTAGTCTCCCCATAGTCACGTGATCACAATTCACACGCTTGGCAAGTGACTCATATTTACGACGGTTGCAGCGTCCCCGGCCTCCTTTTGACAAACAAAGTCAACGGGGGAAGCCAAATTCACTTAAGAACCGAGTTACTGGTTCTGGACATATAGCGATACTCTAAATGCTGAAGGGAATTTAAAATCTAAACAAGAAATGGAAAATCGGGGTATCAACCTATCACGGTGGGCACATCCACAAATGCAAACTAGATACGATAAAGATGTTCAATTGTATGGATTTTATAAGGAACAAACTGTGTTTTGATAAGACATAGCTAACTTCGGATGAGACACTAATTAAGAAAATGTATAATTTTCGGTCAACTTTGGAAATGGAAAGCGAACAAGTTAAAGAAACAATGATAAGATGGGCAAAATTTTTTGGATATAATATAGAACTAGAAAAATGGCAAAATTTATGGGAAAGAAATTATAAACTGACAATGTCAAGAACTGGGTTACTAACTTAACAGGTGCAGCGATTGTAAAACGGGACAAAAGTCACTTCACAAATGTTTCACTTAGCAGCAGAAATTTTGGGCCCAACTGTGGCCGTAAATCAAGGACTACACTTCTTACCCTTTTCCTTCTGAATCAGTGGATTGTGGCCTAAACAACGATCACTGAGGAGGACAAGGAAACGACAAATTGCTTTACCTGTGTACATGCAGCTCAGCATGAGCCCCAAGGCCGCCATGGCTCTGTGGGGACTGAGGACGTTCACGCGGTCCACGCTCAGCTTGACCAGGGCTTCACAGTCCAGCTGAGACAGCTGCTCCGAAAGGAGAAGCCTTTCCAGACCTCTGAGCACACAGTGGAAGATCAACGACGGAGTAGATCCCTCGTTTTCAGACAGCATCACTCCGCACATCTGGAACAGACTGGATGTCAACGCTGCTAGCATCGGATGTTTTTGCTTTGACAACAGTTGGAGATGCAACCCTTTTCCTTCTTAGGTTTTACAGTTAGAGCTAGAGTTAGATGATGCTGAGGGGAGGAACGTGCATGAGAGTCTAGCTAGACATAACAATACTGGACCTAGTGTGGGAACCAAGGTTATTGAAATAAGAGATGATAAGAATTGGTGGGCTGGAGAACTGGAGGGCAAGCCTGCATTTCAAACTAATTGGAGAATGTGATTTATGATTGTTAATTGGAGGAGGGAATTGTGCTTTGATAATAGGTGCTCAGGGGAGGGGAATCTAGTTTTTGGCTTCGATTGTGTTAGTGCCGATGTTATGCTCCTCTAATAAAGATTCTTTAAGGTAAACAATGCCTCGAAGTTCTTTGAAGAGTTTCATCTGTCGGAACCATGACACTGGAAAGTGTCAGATCTGCCATTGTATCCTTTCAGCCCTGCTTCGCTTTGATGGCAGCCTGCCATAAAATGTGGGGAGCGGGGATAGAGGGGCATAGGGAAGGGGGGATGAAGGGAACCAGAGGTGCCAACCGGAGTCAACAGTTGAATGTTCCAAGGACACAGGCGTGGGAACAGAAAACGAATGTCCACCAAACTGTAGAAAAGTTACCAAAACCACTAATCTGAACCTTGTTGAACACAAATAGGATGACCAGTGGGGCAAGGGGGGAAAAATACCAGGTTTATGCGGGAACCCTCAGATCTTTGCTTGTAAGCACTCAGCTTTAGTAAAAGTATAGGTAGTCCTCGACTTACGACAATTGAGCCCAAAATTTCTATTCTTAAGTGTTAAGGGAGTTTCCACCCCTTTTACGACCTTTCTTGCCACAGTCGTTAAGTGAATCCCTGCAGTCGATATGTTAGTAACCTGGTTGTTAAGTGAATCTGGCTTCCCCCGTCGACTTTGCTGGTTAGGAGGTCGCAAAAGGGGATCACGTGACCTTGGGACACAGCGGCAGGTCATAAACATGAGCCAGTTCCCAAGCATCCGAATTTTGACCACGTGATCACGAGGAGGCCGCAAAGGTCGTAACTGAAAAACAGCCCTGTCACATTTTTCAGTGCCGCTGTATCTTTGAACGGTCGCTAAACAAACTGTTGTAAGTCAAGGACTACCTGCACACCTTTCACTACAAATGGAGTCTTTCTTCCCTAAATGCCCAAGTTGGGATAGGCCTGACAGGAAGAAAGATGGCGGAGCTTCTTTTTACCTCAGCCCAAAGGTGCTTTTTCATGAGGCAACTGGACTTTCTTGTTTTTCTTTGAAGACGTTTCACTTCTCATCAAAGAAGCTTCTTCAGGTTCTGACTGAATGGTGGGGAATGGAAGGATTTATACTCCTTGCAGAGAGCTCGTCATTTGCGTCCTTTTAGAGAGTCGTTGAGTCCACTTGGACCCTGAGGACACAGACAAACCTCCAAGTGGCCTCAACGACTCTCCCAAAGGAGGCAAATGACCAGCTGTCTGCAAGGAATATAAGTCCTTCCATTCCCCACCAATTCAGTCAGAGCTGAAGAAGCTTCTGGGATGGGAAGCGAAACCTCTTCAAAGAAAAACAAGGAAGTCCAGTTGCCTCCTGAAAAAATATCTTGGGGACAACCCTGACCTGGATAGACTGAGAATCTCCACAGACATTTTCAGCTCTGCCTGTCCCCGAAGGCCAGGTGGGAAACTCTCCGGAGGCCTCAACCCTACCTGAATGATTCCTGAAGAGAATTCGGGCCCGACGTCAGCGGGGTAGTTTTCGATTAAGTAGAAGGCCACGGCGCACATGACCAAGATATGCTGCTGGTTGTGGAGGTTCACACAGCTGTTAAGAGAGACAAGAAAGGGTTCACCATACGACAGAGATCAGCCTGTTTTAGCTCTCTTTTCTTTCACCTTTCTACTGAAGGAATACAAAAAGGAGGAGTAAACCATCCCTCGGCGGTCTTAGAAGGATCAACGGCAGGTAGTTCTCGACTCACCACGGTTCGTTTAGTGTCCGTTCCAAGTTACGACGGCACTGAAAAATGTGACTTACCACCCTTTTTCGCAGTTACGACCTCTGTAAGCGTCCCACGATCACGTGATCCAAACGCAGCCGCAGGGCAGCTGGCTCACACTTATGACCGTTGCTGTCATGTGATCCGCTTTGGTGACCTTCTGACAAGCAAAGCCAAGGAGGCAGCCAGACTGACTTAACGGCCGTGTTACTAACTTATCAGCTGCAGGGATTCATTTAACCACCGTGGCAAGGAAGGTCGTTAAATGGGGCAAAACTCAGCTAAACGTCTCACTTAACAGCAGAAATCTAAGGCTCCATTGTGGCCGTAAGTCGAGGACTAACTTTACAGGTAAACCATACCTAAAGAAGTAAGGAATACTCCAATCAAGGAATTGCCAAGCAAACGGTAAACGGCCCAACCAAAGAACCACCAAGATCGCTCCCATCGACACTCAGAGAAGACACGAGAGTATATAATTGAGAGCAATCCCCTGTCCCTTCTAGCACTGATGGTGTTACCTAGTTGGGTCATGAAACGTCTGCAAGAAAACCACCCAGCTCAGAGAGCGCCAAATGTGTCCATCTGGCTGACAATCTTAACTAGGGCTTATTTTGGGGTGGGGTGGGGCTTAATATTACGAGCGTCCTGAAAAACCATGATTAGGGCTTACTTTCCGGGGAAACACGGTACTAAATGCGTCCGTCTGGCTGACAATCTTAACGGGGGCTTATTTTTTTGGGATGGGGCTTATGTTACGAGCGTCCTGAAAAAAAAAAATCATGCTTATTAGGGCTTAATTCCCCGGTTAGGTTTTATTTTTTGGGAAAACAACGGGATCAAGACTTACTGGGCAACTCCTCGCAGATTGGACAGCAGGTACTCGGTGATGACCGGAACGAGCTGCTTCGCCGTGTCGTCCAGGAGGTCGCACTCCAAAATGTAGAGGATGCCGTGCAGCGCCCCAATTCGGCTGGGCATGTGCGCGCTACGGAGCGTGGATTCCAGCAGGCGGCTGACCGGCTCGGCCACAGCTTTATCCTGATGGACGCAAAGAAGACATAGCGGGTCTTAGGGGCAATTGACCAGCTGTGGGGAAAAAAAATTGCCCAGTATAGATTTCTTTGCAGCGCAGACTCTAGTACAGATGTTTACGGAGATTCTCCATCATCCAGATTGTCCCAAAGGTGCTTTTTGTTCAGGAG